TATAAGTGCAGGAATATAGGATAAAATTTCATGACATTGAATATATCCAACGAGCCCAAAACCATCTAACTCACAAGCTGGCCCAGTTGACTATCACAGAAAACACCATCCTAAAGCTTACTAATACAAATTCTAATGTAACCGAGACCTGTAAAGCTACTTTTGATTAATAATATGAGGTATTTGGTTTAAAAAAATAATCCAATTGATGTAATGTCATTTTTTTAATACTAAATTAATTTAAACTTTATATTGAGTTTTTACTTTTAAGGTACCTAGTACCCGGTAAAATTTAAATCTTATCATAGAATTCTTTAATTAAATATGAATGAATAAACCATTTCCTCATCTAAGTTTCCAACACAACTTGAAGGAAATTTCGTGGATTACGTGACATGACTTTCTATACTATTTCATTCGTCTCATTGTATTTAAATATTGTATATATCAAAAAAGATAATAAATAAAACAAAAAAAAATTGTGTTTTTATTATTCATAATTATTAAATATTAATTTATTTTCATTATAATAAATGTAAAATAAACAAAAGTAATTAGATAATGTAGTTGAGAAAGAAAAAATAAAATAAAAATTGTATTAAATTTTTTTTAGAATAAAACATTTTTATAAATATGAAAATTATTCTAGGATAGAAAAAGTAGGTAGGGTGTAAAGCAATAAACAACTCGCTATCATTTAGTTTATTATACACGCATACAATAGTTTAAATATACCATGTCACAAAAAATAAAAAATTTAATATATAATATATCAAGTAGACATGCAGAAAAGTAAAATGAACTTTCCATAATATATATAAAGATGACACGTTAGTTTTATTAAAAAATGGTGACACGTTTAAAATATTGTACTAGTATTATTTTGACACTATCTACCACCATTAAACTTTTATAATTGAATAATGTAGTTTTTCTTAGACAGTTGAATAATTTACATCCGTTCATTATTGTAAATAATAATTTTTTTTTAAATTTATTAAATATTTGATATATCTGATATATAATATGTGTATAAGAGCGCAAATTTTAAAATTTGATTAATTTTTATAAATTACAGATAAAACAAACATGTTTACGGTCCATTTTGCCACCGATAAAAAATTGGAGAGTGTGGATTGAATTTATCTGAATGGATAAGGTTAGAAACTAGAAGCTTCTGATGTCCACTCCATTTGGTCACCTCAAACAAACCATAGCTTTTACATCAAACCAAGTTTATACGCAGTGTCCAAACTCATCATTAATTATACATGACAAGCAATGAAGCAATCACTCTTTCTGGCATCCTTTGTAAATTTAAAAGTTAGTTAAGTATAAATATATTAATTTTTATTATTATTTAATATTAGATTTTCCATATGGAAAAGTACTGTTGGAATAAGAGAATTCATATTGTGTTTAAAGAAATTAGAACATGTCAAAAAAGAAGAAAATATAGGAGTAGAAGGAATATAGTTTTAGATATATGAAAGAGTATAATTTATAGGTAAAGTAGATCTTATCCTATGCCTCGTTAGGCACCAAGGAGTAAGCGCCAGCATCTATTTACGTGTTCATTCACTTCTATCTTTAGGTTTATCTTATTAAAAAAAATTATCTTCATCGAATCAATGAAACTATACGACATGTGTCAACTTGACACATTCTTATGGATTTTAATTTTAAAACTAAAGATAACATACAAATATTTTTTTAACATATAAAATTATACTATATATATCATTTTTTGTTTTTTCTTTTCCTCGATCGAGTCCTGGCATGCAGGTCAGCCTCTAATTTTGTAGAGATTCTGAGTTAATAATTAAAATAGATTTTTAATAAAATAATACTGCTTTAAAATAGTTTCGATCCTAATTGTTTGTATACGAAAAACTTTTCTAGTGATAAAATATTTTAATATATAATATCCGAATACAAATAATATTTATATATAAAAAAATTTATTAAAAAATTTATTTTTGATTTAAATATTTTTAAATATATAAAAAATTGTATTTATAATCAAAATATAAATAAATATATTTTTTTCTTTTAAATATAATAAATTTTATTGGTTAAATAATTTTATTTTATTATATTTTATAAAAAAATGCGCGTAACACTTTTATGTTATTTTAAATATTTGTATATAAGTAAAAGTTATGTTTATGATCCATTATAAATAAAAAATATATATATTTTTTAAAAATAATAAAGTTATTTTGGTTAAACAATTTTATTTTTCTTTCTTTTCATATTTATTACATTTTAAAAATAAAACTTGTAACATATCGATATTCGTGCGAATGCACAAGTATCTACAAATTTAAATGAAACTATCATATCAATATTTGGACGTAGCCACGTGTTTAACGAAATTATATGAACGGAAAAAATAAAATCAATAATTACAATATTGAATAGTAAAAATTTATCAATTCAATATATACATAAAAAAAAATATTGTTAATTCAAATATTTTTAAATGATTCTATTTTAATAAATGGAAATAACTTTAGAAAAACAAAAATAATGACAAAACATAAATTGCATTTGCACATAGAAGAAAAATATTGTTGATTCAAATATTTTTATATACAAAAATAAATTATAGACACTGATTTATTTAATTTTAAAATAATAAATTCTTTTAGTGGTACAATTTTACCTTTTATTTATTTTATTTTTTATTAAATTTTAAAAATAAATGTGTGTACCATATCAATTTACAATACATTTGGCCTATTTATTCTAAATTACTTTTTATTTTATTAACTTCTTTTTAACATTTATTTCAACTGTTATTTTTTTAAAATATCTTCGCTCATTACAAATCTATTATTCTGCATTTATATATTATTAATTTTCATTCAATTTTATTATTATAACCCAAAAAAAAATTATTTAATTTATTTTCGAATACATTTTCATATTATAAATTTCAAAAATACATATGTTTTTTAAATAATATTTTTTATTAAAACAAATACGTGTCCCTAAGGGATACCCGTGTCAAGACACACGGTATCTCGATAATTTTAAAAATAAAAATAACATAAAAATATTTTTTTAACATATAAAATTATATTGTATATATTATTGTTCGTTTTTTAGCCTCGGTCAAGTTCTGATATGCAGATTCAACCCTATTTTATAGAGATTTAGAGTTAATAATTAAAACAGATTCCTAATAAAATAATACATCTTTAATTATTAGAGTTAATAATTAAAATTTTGATTCAATAATAATTTTTTAAATATTTAATTAAGAAAATAAATAGTATTATTTAAATTTTATATTAAAGACGGAATTGTCTCATATAATTGGAAGATTATATTTCAATTTTCTAAATTGATCCTTAATATAAAAAGAATTTAAAAAGAAATATTTTATTTAAAATATAAATAATATTAAAAATTATAAAAAAAGATCTATAAATATTTTAATGTTCCATAAAGATGGCTAAACAATATACTTGTCATTTACTATGTAACACTTACTTTTTAAGTATAATATTAAAATCGAAGTGTTTCAATTAATAAATAAATAAATATTAAAGTTTTAAAATATGATAATACATTGTAACCATTTGTTTTTGTCAAATGTGACAAAATATTTGAATAACTATAACCATATGATAAAACAATACAACCATTCAAAATTTTGTAAGTTAAATAAATTCTTAAATGACCCAATTAAATATTATTCAAATAAAAATTAAAATAAAACTCTAAGTATAATTTAATTAAGCTAATTTAAGCGCTGTTAAAGGTCTTTTTTGGCATAGTACCTTAATAGTTTTATTATTATTTAATTATTCAAATAATTAAAATAGTTAATGAAAAAGAATAAAAATTAAAAATAAAACCCTAAGTATAATTTAATTAAGCTAATTTAAAATTAGTTAATAAATAGAAGTCAATTAAAAATAAATAAATGTATTATTAAATAAACTCAATTAAATATTAACCCATTAAATTATCAATAAATGAAACCCAATTAAATAATAATTAATTAAAATTGTTAACTAAAGAAAAATCAATTAAATAAAAATTTACTAAAATTATTAATAAAAGAAAACCAATTAAATTTTAATTAAAATTTTTAATAAACTTACAGGGGGTGTATTTCTAACTAGATTAGTAAATGGATTCGGGTGTTAATAGTAAAGAATTAGGCCCATGATCAATAGAAATCCTAATTCAAATATTACTAAATAAAATAAAATAAAAATTTAGAAAAAACCTAATGAAAATGAGGGGGGGGGGGGGAGGGGGGGGCGCCACTATGTTTCAACCCTCACTATTTTTTAATAATAAAATAGAGTCAATTGATAAGGTCAAAATTGAAAACTTCATTTTCCTTTTCTCTCTCTCTCTCTCTAGTATCTGGTCCCTCACTTTCTCACCATCTCCATGTTTTTTTCTTTCTGCTGCTCTAACAAATAATACAACTTCCTAACGTACCAAATCAAAACATCTTGAAACAAGGAAAAGGGTGGCTGGAACCCACGCACACGTGGCAGAGGGATTGCGGACCCGCGTAGGACAAGGTGGTGTTCTATGAGTGTTCACAAAGAATATATTGAAAATGGGTCGTGGGAGAGGACGAGGGCGAGGGCGGCCACGCTTGGTGCCACCGTCAACAAACACTCTTACGACGGCCATCTCTGAACTGCAAGTCACGGAAGAGGAAGCCCCTATGTTTCAACCCTCACTATTTTTTTAATAATAAAATAGAGTCAATTGATAAGGTCAAAATTGAAAACTTCATTTTCCTTTTCTCTCTCTCTAGTATCTGGTCCCTCACTTTCTCACCATCTCCATGTTTTTTTCTTTCTGCTGCTCTAACAAATAATACAACTTCCTAACGTACCAAATCAAAACATCTTGAAACAAGGAAAAGGGTGGCTGGAACCCACGCACACGTGGCAGAGGGATTGCGGACCCGCGTAGGACAAGGTGGTGTTCTATGAGTGTTCACAAAGAATATATTGAAAATGGGTCGTGGGAGAGGACGAGGGCGAGGGCGGCCACGCTTGGTGCCACCGTCAACAAACACTCTTACGGCGGCCATCTCTGAACTGCAAGTCACGGAAGAGGAAGCTTCTGTGGACAACGAAGAGCGTAATGACACAGTGGAAAACGGTAACCTGGTGGAGGAGAACATAGCGATTGCATCTGATTCCGAAGACCTAGGTCATTTAAGTACTGAAGAAAGAATGGAGGTGGAAACTAGCCAAACGAAAAAACTATGGGTTGATATCATCAATGAGAATCGTAATCCGGCGAAGGGTCTCACTATGGAATTCGTTGCCCCTAAGATTATTGATGGAGAAATGGAAATCCAAATTGAAGAGGAAGATGTTGAAAAGGAAGTGAAATTCTGGGAATCTGCCCTTATCATGTATGCCCTGGGTGTGGACCTCAGCATGAATGCGGTAAAACAATTTATGAGCAAGAACTGGAATTTTGTGAAATTCCCTGATATGTTCTATAATGAGGAAGGTTTCTTCATCCTCAGATTCTAATCTTTCCAAGACAAAGACCTAGTTTTAATGAAAGGGCCGTATTCAATCCGTAATAGACCTATGATGTTGCGTGAATGGAAACCTGATTTCAGTATGAGCAAGGATATGCTGAGAACACTTCCGTTGTGGGTGAAACTACCCCAGCTACCCTTACATCTTTGGGGCGCACGAAGCCTCAGTAAAATAGGCAGTGCGTTAGGAACACCTCTCGTAACAGACGAGTGCACGACAAATAAGCTTAGAGTTTCATACGCTCGTATCCTGGTGGAAATTGACATCACACAAGAGCTTAAGACACACATTCTGATAAGAGACGAAAAAGGGGCGCGACTGCACCAGTCGATTGAGTATGAGTGGAAACCACTTTACTGCCAACGTTGCCAAAAGATGGATCATAATTTGTGACAAGCCTGCTAGACCTGCTAAAGAGTGGAAGATGAAAGTGAAGGACCAGGCACAAAAGGAGAGGGTGCAAGCCACTGCTAATCAAAGTGCAACAACAGCAACAGGGGACACTAGTAGAGCAACAACAACAATAGGGAATGCTTGTACTGGAACAACAACAACAGGGGCAATTCATAAGGATATCCAACAGAATGATGAGGTGTGGACTATGAGTACTAGCAATGGAAAAGGGAAGGCCAAAATTTCTGCCAAGGAGGATGACAACATCCAATGCCAAAATGGTTTTTGGCTACTGGGGATTTTGAATGATCCTGGAAGTGGCCAACAAACTGATCAATGCTAGTGTCTTGGAATGTGAGGGGCCTGAATAAGATGGTTAAGACTAAAGAGGTTAGCTCCCGCCTCCGTTCTCTTAACCCATTGATTTGTATTTTGCTTGAGACTAGAGTGAAGCAAGATAAGGATGACAAAGTTAGGTGCAAAATGAATCTTAAGGGTTCATTTATGGATAACTATTCTGATCACGCTAATGGAAGAATATGGATATGGTGGAACCATGCTAAGACTGCTATCAGGAAAGTCACTAGCATTGGGCAACTACTTCATTGTGGTGTTTATGATGTGCAGGGTGTTTTTCAATTCTGGCTCACAGCAGTGTATGGTGCAAACAGGATGGATCATCGCAAGAAGTTTTGGAGTGATATAGAGTATATTAACCAAAACCTACATGGGCCATGGTTCCTTATTGGTGACTTTAACAATGTACTTCAAACTGCTGACAAAAGGGGAGGATCCATGGTGCAGATGAAAGAGTATGTTGATTTAACTAATATGATGAACAAGTGTAGCCTGAGTGAAATGGATATTGTTGGAGATTATTACACATGGTCCAATCGGTAGGGTGACAATATCATTCACTCTAGGATTGACCATGGGCTGGAAAACATTGAGTGGTTTCAAAAATACATCAGTATGAGCCTCAAGATCCTTACCCCTGGCATTTCTGATCATGCACTACTGCTGTTGTCTGGCTTTGAAAACACTATGAAACGAACCTACCAGTTCAAGTTCCTGAACTGTTCCACTGAGATTGAGGGCTTCCAAGTTTACATTTCCAATAGCTGGAACCTCCCTATCCAGGGTAGTCCCATGTCTGTTATGTGGAGGAAACTGCTTCGAATCCAGAATGTTGTGAAAAAGATTAGCAAACCTTTGTTGGGTGCCACTGCTGCTCTCAACAATGCTAGAAAGAATTTACAAGAGGCCCAGTTATGGCTCAGTGAGGGCCTGGACAACCCTGAAGTCGTTCATCTTGTTAAAAATAGATCAGCTGAGGTATGTTATGTTAGAACACAGATTGGTTCTTAATAATAACTCTTTATTTTGATGATAACTGTTAGGAAATTTATATTTAAGAATTATATACTCTAAAATTTGTTTGAGAGTTTTACTGCAGATTGAAATTATATTAACTCTCTAAAAGCAAATCTGCCTTGAATACAAGAAGTTATTCTGACTCTGAAGCGCCAGATGCACCTTACAGAAGAATCTGTTTGCTCTTTACAGAAGATCCTGAGCGTAGTCTCCAGAAGGATCTGAAGCAAGAAGCTCCAGAACATTCAGAGTCAGAAGCATCTGAAGATAATCAGAAGCATCTGAAGATAATCAGAAGCATCTGAAGCTGAAGCATCTGAAGTATAGAAGAATATTGATTGAAGAGTTTCTTAAAGCATTTATCTACAGAAGTTTCTGAAAGTACCTACGCTGCCAAGTACTGAAGCTCTGTGCCAGAAATGCTCTGATAATCAACACGCTAAAAGCACACATGCTGCAGAAGACTCTGATACAAGCATAGTTCTGAATCTCATTTGAAGACTCTGATCCAGTCAGACTCTGAAGAACTTGCTGAAAACTGAAGAAGTAATTTTCAAGAATATATCTGTTGGAGTTATTCAACGTCTCTTTCCTTATTTGTGCTAGACACACTTACACAGACAAAAAGGATTTATCTGTGCCATCTACTTCTAGGAAAGGTCACTTGATGTGAAGACAAAAGGCTCAGACCTTTTTGGGACTCCCTTTTTAACGCTCAGCATCCTTGGATCAGCTGCCTATAAAAGGAGAACTTCACCATACTCTTCAGTGACGCTTGATACACATTTGCTGGCTTTAGCAGATGGACATGGGTAAAGTTCTTAAAACACAAGGATGAGTCACATTCTGTGTTCTTTGACTTCTGCAAGCAAGTCCAAAATGAAAAGAATTTCAAAATTATAAAAGTCAGAAGTGATCATGGTGGTGAATTTGAAAATAAATATTTTGAAAAATATTTTTCTGAAAATGGCATTGCACATGATTTTTCCTGTCCTAGAACTCCACAACAGAATGGGGTTGTAGAAAGGAAAAACAGAACGTTGCAAGAAATGACCAGAACCATGATCAATGAGACAAATCTGGCAAAACATTTTTGGGCAGAAGCAATCAAAACAGCATGCTACATTCAGAACAGAGTGTCTGTTAGACCTCTTCTGAAGAAGACTCCTTATGAATTGTGGAAGAACAAAAAGCCCAACATTCCATATTTTCATCCTTTTGGATGTATTTTTTTTATGTTAAACACTAAGGAAAATCTGGGCAAGTTTGATTCCAAAGCACAGAAGTGTTTCATGCTTGGATATTCTGAACGCTCTAAAGGCTACAGAGTATACAACACAGAGACACAGATTGTGGAAGAATCCATTCATGTCAGATTTGATGATAAGCTTGGCTCTGAAAAGCCAAAGCAGGTTGATAACTCTGCAGATAGGGAAGTAGTCTTTATTGACTCTGAAGTTCCAGAAGCAGACAAACTTCAAATGAAGGAACCAGAAGAAACTCCAGATGCTACTCCCTTAACCTCTCAAATGAATAATCTAAATATTTCTGAAGAGTCAACTATCAGAGGATCATCATCCAGAATTAAAGCTTCTCATCCAGAGGATGTAATTATTGGAAAGAAGGATGATCCCATCAGAACAAGATCCTATCTAAGATCATCTGAAACTTCACTATTTGGACTAGTGTCAGAAATTGAACCATCTTCTGTAGAAGAAGCTCTGCAAGACAATGATTGGATCATTGCCATGCAAGAAGAGCTAAATTAATTTAGCAGAAATGATGTATGGGATCTAGTTCAAAGACCTCAAGGATTCAATATTATTGGTACAAAATGGGTTTTCAGAAATAAGCTAAATGAGAAAGGAGAAGTTGAGAGGAATAAGGCAAGGCTGGTTGCTCAAGGGTACAGTCAGCAAGAAGGTATTGATTACACTGAGACATATGCTCCAGTGGCAAGGTTAGAATCTATACGCCTTCTTATTTCCTTTGCTGCACAGTATAACATCACTCTGTATCAGATGGATGTTAAAAGTGCCTTTCTTAATGGTATTATAGAAGAAGAAGTTTATGTCCACCAACCTCCTGGTTTTGAAAATGAAATATTTCCAGATCATGTTTTCAAATTAAAGAAATCTCTATATGGATTAAAACAAGCTCCCAGAGCTTGGTATGAGAGATTAAGCAATTTTCTTCTGGAGAAGAATTTCATCAGAGGCAAAGTGGATACAACTTTATTCTGTAAAACAATTAAGAAAGATCTTCTAATTTGCCAAATTTATGTAGATGATATTATTTTTGGATCAACAAATATTATGCTTGGAAAGGAGTTTGCTGCATGTATGCAGGCAGAATTTGAAATGAGCATGATGGGAGAGCTCAGATTCTTTCTAGGAATCCAAGTTAATCAAACTCCAGAGTGCACATACATACATCAGACAAAGTATGTTAAAGAACTTCTGAAGAAATTCAACATGTCTGACAGCAAGCTAGCAAAAACTCCAATGCATCCCACTAGCTCACTTGGAAAAGAAGAGGTAAGTAAGAAAGTAGACCAGAAGCTCTACAGAGGTATGATTGGCTCTCTTCTTTATCTTACTGCTTCTAGACCTGACATATTGTTCAGTGTTTGTCTGTGTGCTAAATTCCAATCAGATCCTAGAGAATCACACTTGACAGCTGTCAAGAGGATTCTAAGGTATCTGAAAGGTACTTCTAATGTGGGTTTGTGTTACAGAAAATCTGATGATTTCAAATTAGTTGGATTTTGTGATGCTGACTATGCTGGAGACAGAGTGGAAAGAAAAAGTACTTCTGGAAGTTGTCAATTTCTAGGAAGAAATCTAATCTCCTGGTACAGCAAGAAGCAACCCACAATTGCACTTTCAACCACAGAGGCTGAATACATTGCTGCTGCTGGATGTAGCACGCAGATGCTCTGGATGAAAAGTCAACTAGAAGATTATCAAATTTTTGAGAGTAACATTTCTATCTTTTGTGATAATACTTCTGCTATATGTTTGTCCAAGAATCCCATTTTACATTCTAAGGCAAAACATATAGAAATTAAGCATCATTTCATCAGAGACTATGTTCAGAAGGGAATCATAAATTTAGCCTTTGTTGATACAGATCATCAATGGGCAGATATTTTTACAAAACCCCTTGTTGAAGATAGATTCAATTTTATTCTGAAAAATATTGGTATGGATTTTTGTCCA